TTTACATATCGTGCATGGGCAACACATTTTCTTATTCTGCATCTTATAACAATTCAAACTTAACACACAATACCTTACGAACTCTTTAACATTATCCTTCCATTCTTGACTAAAAAGACCTTCTCTCGTACTTGTTATACATCATGTAACGGTTTTCGAATGGAGGACTCATCTTAAAAACTGACTCTACGATATCATTCTTTGTTAATTTGGAAATTTTTTGTCCATTAACTTCAATTGCAGCAATGAAACTCAATTTACACCTCTTCATCCAAACAAATTCGGCATAAGATTTAGCAATAAAAACCAATGAACCTAGGGTTACTTGTAGTTCCTTCGATCTGTCCTGCTCCTTTTGTCTTTCAAGATCTCGATTGGATACAGTTTTCTACAAATCCTCGTTCACCACCTTTTGTTCCTTCGCTTTTGATGATTCAGCTAGATTTGCTTCCTTCAATTTCATTTTATTCTCTGATTCTTCATTGTCTTTTCAATCGGGTGATTTTTTGGCACAAGCATTGGGTGTTTGATTATAAGCAGCAGTAGGGTTTCGATTGATTATTCTTCGCGCGTCGTCTCTTCATCATTAGAGAGAGAGAGAGAGGAAGCTCTATGTTTCTTTTGTTAATCTCTTTCTTCTTTCTATTAAAAATACATATTTACCTCGACTGATTCTCAGCATACATTTCACATTAAACCTATTCACTAATAATCTACTCATTACACTCTACTTTTATGCATCACATCAAGGATAATTTAGTAAAATCAATACGGAAATATCCCTTCCTTAAATCTCATAACAGTCTAAATAATAAAGAGATTTAGGGACGGATGGAGTATTTAAATTGGAGAGGACTTGTTGTGAAAATAGTAATCTTACATGGATGATTTAAATAAAAAAATTAGAGGGGCAAAAAACTTAATTTGCTAATTTTATAGAGACAAAAAAACATTTTTAACCCTATCTTTTAGAAATTACATTATTCAATTAGTGTGTAGATAGTTTATAATTATTAAAAATTAATTTAAAAAACATAAAAATTAAACATTTTTAAAGAGTAATAAAAATTCTCGTGAATATTTATCGTGAGAGAGATTTATAGAAGACAAGGCTCTATAAACTAAATACAAGTGGTTAGAACACTTATATGTAATATAATAACATTAGGTTAAGATAAATATCTACAATGTGAAATGTAATAATTCCTTCATCCCTTGAAAATTTTTCTCTTTCTCATTCTATTCGTCCCCGAAAATCTTTCTACTTTATATTAAAAAAATCATTTTTTATCCACACTATTTCTTTTATCCAACCTATCATATCATATCTACCATGTCGCTTTCTCAAATCAGCGTAGAGTATAGATGCAACAGAGTGTGAGACAATACTTCGTTGAATAGATTCATGGACAGTGTTGAAAATCCAATTACAAATAATTGAGTTGTTGGTTTAGAAACACCTCCAGGTATAAGGAAAATCGCCTTACCACGACCACCAAGCACGTTGCGTATAGCTTCCTCCTAGATCTCGTAATTATCACTATGAATGAGATACTAGATGGTGGACGAATCATGAATCAACCAAGTTTTCTTGGGAGTTTTGACTGTCATATTTGTTGGAGAATTGGACGATGTAAGTTGATGAACGGAAGATGGTGATGACAATGGACGTACGACGTTGGTTTGAGACGTGCCGACGGAATCAGCAAGGAGACCTTGCCGATGGAAGACGATGATGTTGATGGACGGGCGTGTTTTGGTCCATGAGGATTACATCGATAGACGAACGAGACAACGATCAAGATTTTTTGATTCCCCTAGGGTTCACGCCAATGCCATGTAGAATTTCGGAACTAAATGACTTGATTCCCCTTGGAATGAAGAAATAAAAGTACTCCTTCTGTCCCGCTATTTTTGTCCATTTTGGTTTATGATATTTGACTGAATTTTTTTATAGAATTTATTTAAGTATTGGGGTAGAAATAAAAAATAAAAATTGCATACTCCGTATTTAAAAAATATATCTGAAATTTTCAAAACAATAGATGATATAAATATATTTTTTAACAAATGATAGATAAAATCTTTCTTCTTTCTTTTTTCATCCGTCCCAAAAAGCATTTCTCATTTCTATGAAACTCACTTTTACCCCTACTAATTCTTATCACATCACATCTATTGACTATTAATCTACCCATTAAATCTTACTTTTACCCATTACATCAAGGGACATTTTTAGAAACTCAATATCAAAATACACTCTTCTTAAATTCCGTAAAAATCAAAATCTCTGATATTTTTAAGGACAGATAGAGTATAAAGAAAGGACATTACTATGGCTTCGTTCCATTCAACTTATTTTTTCTGATCTGATCTGATTTTTTATAGTTCTGATCTGATCTGATTGGATATCTCATCTGATTTGATTGGATCTGATCACATCAAGTCTGATCTGGTTGGATCTGATCTGATCTAATTGGATTTGATCTGATTTGATTAATTATGATTTGATTTAAAATTCGAAGCAATAATTTGATTTGACTTTATAATAACTTTTGAAAATTGTAATGATAATTCATATTATAATATAATCAATATTTTTATTTTATGATTATTTTTTAATGAAATAAAATTATTTAATTTATATATTAGAATAATCATTCATATTATAGTGTAATAATATTTTTTATTTTATGATTATTTTTTTATGAAATAAGTATATTGATTTAATATTTTAATAATTAGTTCATATATACATTAGAATAAATATTACCTTCATATATATATATATATTAAAAAGTAATTAAGTTTAGATAATCAATGTAGAGAAGAGATAGTATTTTTATTAAAATATCTCATCCTTATAAAATATCAGCGTGTGCTTTGTACTACGAAACTTTTTTTATGATTAATGCAACACCATAGATATAATATTTATTTCAGTTATACTAAAATATACTTCGTATATGAATATGTGTTAATTTTGTTTAAGTCATGATCAAAGTTGATCAACTCGATGTAGTAAAAGATCAAAACTTTAGAAATTCACATTACATGTAGCAATAAAAATGTATTTTATAAGTCGAATTAGATTGACATTGTCAATGTATTTTAAAAATAATTTTTTACGACGTATAATAATTAAGGATTACTTTCTCAGTTTTCTATTTAACTAGTTTCTAAAGTTTATTCTTTTTCATTTTTAATAATAATAATAATAATAATAATAATAATAATAATAATAATAATAATAATAATAATAATAATAATAATAATAATTGATTGGATCTGATCTGATTGGATCTGATATGATCTGATTCGATCTAATCTGATCTGATTTTAATAAGAATAAGAAAAAAGCAGAAAAAATAAGTTGAACGGAACGGGGCATATATCCACCTACATCCACTCTAAGGGCCTGTCCTTTAGGACTGTAAAAAAAGAGCTGGATGTTGGAAGAAACTGGAAAAAACTGGAAGAACTGGAAGAAACTGGAAAAAACTGGAAAAACTGGAAGAAACTGGAAAAAACTAGAAGGAACTGGAAAAAACTAGAAGGAACTGGAAGAAACTGAAAAAACTTCAAAAAATTGAAAAACCTAAAAAAAACTTTAAAAATAGTTATTTTATCTTGTTGTTATAAATTATTATTATTATTATTATTATTATTATTATTATTATTATTATCATCATCATCATCATCATCATCATCATCATCATCATCATTATCATCATCATAATCATCATCATCATAATCATCATCACGTTATCTTAGTCAATGTCTTTAAGATATAAAAAAAGTATTGTTATTTTTTAAATACAAAAAAATACTTTTGAAAAAAATAATTATAATATAAAGTTAGCATAAATATAAAAATTTTAAATTTTAATAAGTCTTTGTAGTTATATTGCACCTCAATTTATTTATGCAGTATTTATTATAAATAATATATTTGTAATTATAATTTATATATTAAAACATTTTGTTTTAAATATCATACGTGTCACATAATCAAACCTATTGTTTCTTTCATGATTGACATTTTATTTTCATTGAATTCCTATTTTTGGAATAAAGACATAAAACTTTTTTGTTTACATTTTTTATGTTTTACTCATATTTTAGTCTTTTTCTCTAAGCTCTTTTAACTTACAATTTGTTTTTTTATAAAAACTAGAATTGAGCAATTTTTAAGCAATAAAGGGAAAACTGAGATGTCTTATAAAAAGTTATATTAATAAAACATTCAATGTAACTATTTTATCCATAATTTTTTTAGTATAATTTAACATATTGATGTTTTCCTGTTTTATCATGTAGACTAATATACAAAAAAAATGTCTTATTCATATTAAAAAGCTGAAAAATAATAATAAGTGTGAATCGCAAAAATAGTGAGATAAAAAACTAATTTATAAACTATAGTTATGAATATAACAGTTGTAATAATAATAATAATAATAATAATAATAATAATAATAATAATAATAATAATAATAATAATAATAATAATAATAATAATAATAATAATAATAATAATCACATTAAAATATATCATTTTTAGAGTAATTGGTTGAGGAGTAGAAAGAATTTGAAGAAAATGAGAAAAGTTGGAAGAAATTGGAAGGAACTGGAAGAAACTGGAAAAAACTGGAAAAAACAGAAAGAATCTGGAAAAAACTAGAAGAAATTAGAAGGAACTGGAAGAAACTGGAAGTTAAGAGTGATCCTCCGTATTAGTCAACTTTAAAAACACAAAAAGGGATATTAGACACTCCCTATTATTCAAGGATTTTTGATCCTCCGTATTAGTCAACTTTAAAGACAAATTTCTCCCTTTTCACATCATTCATCAATAGAGTGAAAATTTTGAATATAGCAACACCCAAAAACAAATTGATTTTAACAGGCCATCTGAGTAGTGGACCGAGAGAGTACATAATTTGACTTTGAAAATGAAGTTTATAGAAGGTGCAGTATAATCTTCTTGTCCCCTATATAATAATGATAGACAAGCATCGTAGCTCTCCAGTCTTTGTGCCGGAAAACAGATTACAATGCATATAGGAATCCAAGAATCCCCCGAGCCCAAAGGAGATCCAACCAGCGGCGGGGAACCAATCAGAACAGGTAAATATCATATACGGAGTATATATCAACGGTTACGTTCCATATCATATACATATATCGGCTTTATCCTGCAGGGACGGTATGGAGTGCGGTTGCTCATATAATCGCAGCGGTCATAGGAGCGGGCGTTCTGTCCCTGGCGTGGAGCACAGCTCAGCTCGGGTGGATTGGAGGGCCCGTTGCTCTCCTCTGCTTTGCTGTGGTCACCTACGTGTCGGTCTCCCTTTTGGCCCTCTGTTACAGGTCACCTGACCCTATAACCGGAAGGCGAAACCCTTCCTACATGGACGCCGTCGGATCTTATCTTGGTATATCTATGTAGCTTATACCTCTGGGTTTCTTTTTAAAGAAACCCAGAGCTACGTGCATGTCTGTGCAAAATATGGGCGTGTCAAAAAATATGGGGTTACCCTGGCTTCACTCTTTTTTTTTTTGTTTAGGGAGGAAGAGGAGAATGATGTGTGGGTTGCTTCAGTATGGGTTGATGTATGGGACTTGCGTGGCCTATGTAATCACTACGTCTACCAGCATGGGGTAAAATTAATTTACTTATTTACCCTGCCCTTATTACAATCTTATGAAATAATTAATTTTGAAGTGATTTTAATTGATTAGTAATTTACTTGATTGGATGGGAGCGCAGGGCGATCAAGAGATCAAACTGTTACCACAAGGAAGGGCACGGAGCGAATTGCGATTACGGAGACACCGCATTTATGGTGGTTTATGGGGTGATTGAGATATTGATGTCGCTGATACCTAATTTTCACGGCATGGCATGGGTGTCCATTGTTGCTGCAATCATGTCTTTTGGCTACGCTTCCATTGGACTTGGCCTTGGATTTGCCACTGTTGTTGGTACACCTACCTACCTATCTTTTCCTTTTAATTTTCACCTTGTTTTTTTGTTTCATTTGCCACTTACTTTTTGACCTTGTTTCATTCCACATCATATGATCTAAAAACAACTATAGGAAATTCTCTTTTTTTTTCTTTAATAAAATGTTTACCAAACAAGTTAACAAACAGTTGTGACACGTTTGGTGAGTGAGTACATGGAATATGAATTGTGATATGTTCTAAAACAAAAATCGTGGGATTTGATATCCACCTCAACTACCAACCCTCAGTGATGGCCATCCACCGTTGTCAGCCACTACCGCTTGTCACTAACAATCGTCATTTCGAATCTCTTACTTATATCATTTCTTTTAAATTTTAAAATAAACATGAGTATCATATACTTTTCAAAATTCAACAAAGGGGTTATAAAATACTCTAGAAGAAGACTTTAGAGTAATCTTTAATTTTTTTATATTATTTAATCTACAGAAAACAGGGTTGTTAAAGGAAGCATAACAGGAATAGCAACAAAAACTACTACTAAGAAGGTTTGGTTAACATTTCAAGCATTGGGAGACATTTCGTTTGCATATCCATATGCTCTTATTGTCCTCGAAATACAGGTATAGTATCCAGCTCACATTTTTATACGGAGTACCCATTTTTAAAGACGAATATGTGATTAAAGCCAATATATTCTCTACCATTTACCAAAAGACTCTGAGGGTCCATTTGGTATATGGAATTGATGGAATTGGAATTGAATTGGAATTGAAATTCCATCGAATTCAATTCCATAGAATTGAATTCCCCAATTCTAATTCGCTTTTTGTACTATCATTCCAAATCCACATAATTTTTGTGCTACCAAACATCAGAATTGGAATTGGAGTCCTCAATTCCAATTCCATCGTTTGAATTCTATGTACCAAACGGAGCCTGATTGAAATTTAGGTGGGTGTATTCAACTCGGATTTTAAAAGATTTTGATAGATTATTTAGAATCTATGAATTATGTAAAATCAATGTATTTTTTTAAATGGACGTAGTTAGATAGATTGTAATGTATTTATTAGCAAAATTTTACTCCCTCCGTCCTATAAAACATGGGATGTTTTGTTTTTTGAAGAGATTTAAGGAAGTGTATTTTGGTATTGAATTTTCAAAAATGTCCTTTGATGTGATGGGTAAAAGCAAGATTTGATAGGTAGATTATTAGTAAAAAGGTATGATGTGATAGGTAGGGTATGAAAAAGTAAGGAGTAAAAGTGACTTTTTAATAGAAATAAGAATTGTTTTTTGGAACGAATGAAAAAAGAAAGGAGAAAAGTTTTCCGGGACGGAGGGAGTATAAGATTGTGTAACATTATTTATTATCCATAGATTACTTTTATTTTCTTTCCTTCTTCCTTTCATCTTCTAGTTCTCCGCCCTCGGTTCCTTCTTCTCTTTTTTGCTTCTTTCTTTCTTTTTTTCTTTCTTCTTTTCTTCCTCCCCTCCTTCCTTCCTCTCCACCTTTCTCCCCGTCACATCTATTGCTCTTCTTGTTGTTTTTTTTTTCTTTCTTTCTCTTTCTTCTTTTTCTTCCTCCCCTCCCCCCTTTCTTCTTCTTCCTCCTTTCTTTATTTTTCTTTTTCTTCCTCCTCTTCCTCCCCTTCTCCTTCGTTCTTCTTCTTCACCTTTTCAGATCTATCCCTTTTCTTCTTTCTCCTCTTTCTCCTGCCCGCTTCTTCTTCTCTGTCTCCATCCCCGCCGGCGTATCTCCTTTCGTCCAGGAGAACCTGCCGACTCCTTTTTTTTAGGCCCAATCCAGATCAACAACTGCTTCAGTGGCGATGTCATCTTCCTTTAGATAGCCAAATCCATTAAAATCCTTTTCAATTTCTACTTTTATACATTGTTAGGAAGATAAAAAAGGGAAGGAGAGAAAATACAAGGTGAGAAAATACATATTTCGTAGCATTTTCTATTGATTGGTTTGGTGAGAAAATTATGTAGGGGAAAACACTACCTATGAAAAATTTTCACTCCAATATAGGTGAGAAAAGTGTATCCCTAAATTTGCTATCTTCCTTCTCCTACCACAAGATTTTTTACTTCCTCCGTCCCTAAATATTCACCACATTTGCTTTTTCAGCAGTCGCGGGAATTTTTGTTTATTTCGACGTTTTCATTAGTTATTTGATAAAATAAAATATTCTTGACACCTCTTATTTCGAAGAACTTTTCATGTAGATTTTTATATGTAAATTTTATTTTTTATTTCTATACCAATATGTAAATAAAATAAATTGAAAAAACTTGATATTTTGCTTCGGAAATACAAATGTGGCAAATAATTTGGGACGGAGGGAGTATCTTTTTACATCATCTTATTATAATTCAAAGGCTAGTTTTAAATTTCTTTTCTCTCATTTTTTTCGTACCATTTTTTGACTTCATCCAAACAAAGGGTTAAGGAGATCCATTCAGCTTCAGAGGGCCCATGATCCCCAAAATGAGTTCATTTCACCGTCCAATTTTAAAAAGGAAAAATTCACAAGAATACTCCCAGAAATTACAAGTTTTACATAAATAATCTCACAATTGTTTATTATTTACATCATTACTCTGTGATTGCTTCATTATCACTGTTCCTCGGGTGCGTCTTTTTAAACGGGGTTCTTCATCTTTTTTTATTGAATTCAATTTAAACTAATATGAACAGACTTGATACTAAACATTAAAAAGATTTAGGAAGTTTGAAATTTGAAATTTTTTAAAAAAGTGATGGGAAATAAGGGCAATGATTAGGTTTACTAAGGCGTGAGAAAGGTGATGGAGAGAATAAATTGAGGTGAATTCAGTATATTAGAGTGAAAAAAAATACATGTCTGCATTTTAATTGTTCACTTATAGTCAAAAAACACATCCAAGTAACACTAATGATCACTACCAAATTTGGGAATAATGATGTAAATAAAATTAAAATGTGGGAGTAGTGCTGTAAATAAACAAATTTGGGAGTATTTATGTAAAATCTGTAATTTCTAGGAGTATTCTTGTCAATTTTGCCTTTTAAAAAAGAGTAAATCTCTAAAATGGTCTTGTTTAGTAAGATATTTTTTAAAATTAGTCCTCATAAGGAATAATTACCAACATGCTCCTTTGTAAATCAGATGTATTCCATAAATAGTTCTCTGTAAAAAAATATTTATTAAATGACAATTAAAGGGAGAGTAGTGTTCATACATTTTCTATCATCTAAACTATGAATAAGTCTTCAAAATAGTCCTTTCAAATAAACCGGGTAGCTACTAGAGTAACTGACCAACCTTGAGTAGGCTCATGGAATCCAGTTTGGGAAAGCATTTACGTAGAAATTATCAGTTTGGAAAAATACTTAATTATAAATGAGCAATTTGAGAACATACATTAAGTTTGGATGATAGGTATCCCAAAATATCTTTTATTTGATTGACATTTAATAGACATTTTTTGCAGAGAACCACGTTGATAATTATTGTTTATTGAGGATTAATTTGAGAAAACGTTTATTAAAAATGACCATTTTGGGTATTCACTCTAATAAAAAGTCACTATAATGTTTTCCGTCTCCCTTACAATTGTCATTTTATGAATTAATGAACCTTTACTGTAAATATTTTAAATTTAGTTTACTAAAATAGTAATATAGAAATGAAACTTTTATACATTTAGGCCATGTTCTTTTAAGTTTAAATTTTAGAATTAGATTTTGGAAGAAACTGAAATGAGCTGGAAAAAACTGAAATGAGTAAGAAAATGTTGAAAAAATTTAAGTATTAAATAGTCACTCAATTAAATGATAACCCAAATAAATATGTAAGAAAAATAGAATGTTGGATATAAAAGAATTCATTACTCTCTGTGTTTGAGGCGGTATATGTTAGAATTGTTGTACGAAGAACATTGCAGAGCAGTGTTAATGAAGAACTCGATAGTATAACGAATCGCGTATGCAAGAATGCTTTCAGATCAAAGTTATTTCGGGGTATAATAAATACTTCAATCGGATAAGACGTTAATCAACAACAAGAACTCGAAATCCCGTCACTCAATCCATACCACGAGACTCTATTTTATAGACTCAAAAATTCATGACCGGACATGAATGTTCGCATAGACACGTACGTTCGCGCGGAAAAGAAGAAACGTTCGCGCGGATAAGGAAAAAAGGGTTTTGAACGAAAAGTCTCCTACGGTTTTGGAGTTAAGTTCGACGTTTATCCATTCGTTTGACTCCTTTACTTTTTTGGACTCCGGCCAGGGGCACTGCCCCTTCAACCCCGCCAGGGGCTGCCGCCCCTTAGACCCTGCTACCCGGGGGTTGCCTCCCCTGGACCCCCACTGTGAATTTTAATATCGTTGAACGAGCATGCACTCCGCGCCTTCTAACTTGTTTGACAACGTCTATTTAAATTCTTGTCCGATCGAAGTAAATCCAATCACACAAAATAAACCGATGATACTAAAATCACCAACAGTATATTATAAATTTGGATATACAATGTTGTCGTATACGTACTCATCATATATAAATAACTTTTTTAAGTCATTGTTTGAAGAAACTAGAACGAGTTGGAAAAGTTTGGAAGTTAATATTTCTAACAAAACGCTTCTTAAAAACTATTACATCTGTTTCTGAGTATATGTATAGTTTTAACGTTTTACAATTAAAATTGACTAAATATGATCATCTAGCTAATATACCATATAATATTTGTTTACTTATAGGTCACAAGTTATAAATAATTGACTAGAGAAGATCAAAACTGAGCAAATATTTAGAGACAATTGTATTACTAGATATGTTCCTAAATGCTTTTCACAATTTGAATATCTCAAATGTACTTTTTTAAATAGAGTTCTTCTTTGGTGCACCTTTGGGGCATATCAATTTTATGGATCTTCTAACATAAGAAACCTATTTTTTATTAATTTTAAAAAATTGAAACTTATTTTAAGTAGTAAATAAAAATACTTATTTTTCTTATATGTAGCCATGTAAGTCCATAGTGGACCTTAGGTCCACAAGAAAATTTTCCTTCTAAATAAATTTAATGGTACTAAGTTTGCAGTACAGTATAACTTGATGTATATTTTACACTGAAATTGTATTCTTAATTCAAGCAATGGTCCAAATTTGTAATGCTTGACTAGAAAACTCAAAAAACTCAACCAATGCAACCCATTCAAGAAGTGAATAAATATATAAAAAGTTAAAAAATAAGAATTTGACATTACTATATTATTTTACCATATTATGAATGAAATAAGCTAAGAAAAAGATGAAACTTGACCCAAATTAAGGTGGACAATAATATTATTTTGGAGGGGAGGGGGAAATAGTCATAAAGTTATAATTATCCTGTTTTAAATTATTTTTTTTAACTATCGAAATATTTCATTATTAAATATAGACAAATAAGGATAACTTCATATTTAGTTAAACAAGGTTTATTTCATTTTTCTTAAAATATTGCATTTTCTATAATTTCATTTTCAAGATTTTATTTCTATTCTTATATGAATTGAAAAGTTTATTAACAACAAATTGAAAATATATAATGCAAAGAAAATAATATGAAAAATAAGTATTGTGCAATATTTAACTGTGCATATACTATGTTTATAAGAAACATGATATATTCTGATACATAAAACTTTCTTTGACCCAAAAAATCTTCCCCATTTGAAATTTTAAGTCAACTTTCTACATAATTTGACCATTAATAAATAAAATTTTAAATAAATTAATACTATAAAAATTTTATGTATCAAAACTACATCTTAAAATGAATTCAATTATATTAAATTTACATTTTAAATGAATATTTTATTCTTAACCATTTGTAGTCAAAGTTTGTTATATTTGATCAAAAAATCAAATTGGGAAGATTCTTTTATGAAGCTAGGGGGATTATAAGAACTTTTCTTAAAGAGGTCGTATTGATTTTCATGCTTCAAAACAAAGGATACTTTGAAGTCACCTCCAGCAGAATACCGGACCATGAACAAGGCGTCATTGGTAGGGATAATAATCACGACTTTCTTCTATGTGTGCTCCGGATGCTTTGGATATGCAGCTTTTGGTAGTGACACACCGGGGAACCTCTTGACCGGGTTTGGTTTCTACGAGCCATATTGGCTTGTTGATGTTGCTAATGCTTGCATTGTAGTACATCTAGTTGGAGGCTATCAGGTATTCTATTCTAATGCATGGTAAATGTTTCTATATTTTTCAGAGTTAATTAAACACTTGATTGATTATCTTATTCTTGTTTAAATTTTAATAAAGACGGGCACTTCATTTGTTGAGAGTTTATCTTAATATAACTAACTCGTACTACTACGTGTATTTTTATTTCATCAGATATACAGCCAACCAATCTACGCATTTGTTGAGAATTGGCTTGCCCAAATTGTGCCCCAGACCAGATTTGTTACAAAATCATATGCTCTAAAGCTTCCGTCAATGCCAGTCCTACAATTGAATCTTGCCCGGATATGTGTAAGAATCGCGTACGTCGCATCAACAGTGGGCGTTGCAATTTTGTTTCCTTACTTCAATGAAGTCGTGGGAATTTTGGGAGCAGTGACATTTTGGCCATTGGCCATATATTTCCCAGTTGAAATGTATCTTGTGCAAGGGAAAATTAGACCTTGGACAAAAAAGTGGATTTGTCTTGAGACTTTCAGTGTGATTTGTTCGTTTGTATCGATAGTGGGTTTGATCGGTTCAATTGAAGGGATGATAAGCGCAAAACTCCATTGAAATAACCACTGGTGTACTATATTTGTACAATAGTAGATAAAGCTTAAAGCACAAATAATATATATGTTCACAAGAAGTTATGCAAGAAATAAGCATTGGGATTATTGTAAATTTGGGCACCACGAACACATTATTCACATTACACTATTTGCAAGTCGAATTATGTTTCTTTCCCTGTAACACATCAAAAATTTGCCTATCGGATAACTTTTTATTTAAAAAACTAATTACAAAACAAGATACACTAGCTAGCTTATATTTATTTTAAATAATTAAAAATTTTGAAAATTAATGGTTATTTCAGATTTTGATTGTGTGACTCCAAGAATCACTGATAAGATTTGGGGTAAAGTACTTCTGATCTAAAACAAAAATTTATTGGGGTACATTAATTAATTAAAGGAGCACTCGTCTCATATTCCTCCTTATCCTTGTTTTTCTTCTGTCTTTTTTTCACCCCACTCTTTTCTATCTCATTCACTCCCATTCTATCTCACTCCATCATTTCTCTCTCTCTCTCTCTCTCTCTCTCTCTCTCAATTCCTAGCAATAGCTTAGAAACATAAATTCAACCTCTAGAAAAATTATGTCATTCTTGTCAATATCAATCTACACTCTCTATTGAACATTAAATTGTTTGAGGTGAATCTTGATTAATCTTTAACATCATCTTAGATATAATATAATATTTTGATTAAATAAACAAAAACTCAAATATTTTAAAGAATAATATACCTAGCTCGCATATTGGAACCACCGGCTTGTAAGAGGTGGAGTAATTGGCTTGAACTCCTTGCTTTGGGTGTCGAAGGGACAGTCGTCGTTTTTGATTAAAGAGAATTGAAGAATAAGAAGGCAATTGAACTCCTTGCTATTGATTCTTACTTTGTATATTTCACTATTTTGAAGATGATTGAAGAAGGAGGCGATTGAGGGAGTGTTCCGTTCAACTTATTTTTCTGCTTATTACTTATTCTTATTAAAATCAGATCAAATCAGATCCAATTAGATCAGATCAAATTATATCCAATCAGATCCTATCAGACAATATATGATTAAACTAGATAAGATCAAATTAGACCGGACCAAATCTAAACAAAAGTAAGATTATTATTTATTATTATTATTATTACCATTACTATTATTACCACTATTATTAGTATTATTATTACTATTATTATTATTATTATTATTATTACTATTAATATTAATAATAATATTACTATTATTATTGTTACTATTATTATTATTATATTTATTATTACTATTATGTTAGACAAAACGTGCAATTCTAGAGGGGTGAATAGAGTTGTGTTTTAGAATGAGCGTAAAGGAAAGGAAAAATTGCAGGAAATATTTAAAGAGTAAAGGGAAAGAAGATTACTGTGATGTATACTCGTTCACCAACTCGTGGCTAGTCCAGTCTTCCGAGAGAATCTCTCAAAGGTCCTATTATACTTCAAGCTTCAACGGTTGCTTGAAAAACTGATTACAACTCGAAAACTTAAATCCCACAAGCCTCAATTTCTTACAAACAAGAATTGAATCACACAAGTCTTAGAACTCACAACTTAAATAAAATTGAGTTTACAACACAAGAATGAAGGCTCACACAGTTGAGCAACTAGTGTGAAAATGTAAAGCTCTAATGAATGACAATATCTTTGCACTCAATAAAATATGTTTATAGCTCTCAAAATAAAATTTTGATGATCAACAATGGAGCAAGAGATGAATGAATGAGAGGAAGTGAAAGGAGTGCTTGAATTGTTAATGAAATGAAGGAGGAAGAGAGATTTTATAGAGATAAGAAAAATAAATATGTTGGAGAGAAAAAAGAAATATTTTGACGGATTTTACCTTTGGCGATCGATCCATGCCCTGTGATCAATCACCGAGACTTAAAATATTTTTGAAGAAATTCGAGCAGAGCTTCGAGTGATCGATCCACCCTTGGTGATCGATCCCACGAAGGGATTTCTGTGCAAATGAGAAAGTCGTGTGATCGATCCAACCCCAGGGATCGATCCACTAACAAATATTTTACAAACATGAAGGATCCAAGGCATGTGTGCAAGATGAAATACATCTTTGAACTTATGGGTTTGTTTCCAACATTGAAATCAGGGGTAAGGATCCCCATCACTTCAAAAATTATTCAAATTAAATTTTTGAACAAAATAAGGAATTCTTAGGGGTAGAAATGAGTCCCAAAAATATTTTGTGTGGCAAATGGTGTACACGAAAAATATTTAAAATATATTTTTCTTAACCACAAAAAATTGTATATCTTAAAAAGATATTTTTAAAAATTTTGAAACACTTTTTGTAGCTGACCCAATTGAAAGAAGGATTATTTTCCACAGTCCAATACAATAATTCTACCTCCCTTTATATACAAAGGGGGAGGGGTTACAATAAGGAAGCAATCATAAATGTGAATCTTATACAAATAAGGAATGTACTATAATTGATACAAGGAATATTCTTAACATATATAATAAATATGCTTAACATATTTAACATGCTACCGACTCCGTTGGAGATCTCCGAATCCCAACGTTGTGTCGAAAATCCGCAAAGATGATAGAAGACAGCCCTTTGGTAAAGATATCTGTGAACTGAGAGGAAGAGGGGACATGCAGGACTTAGACTTGGCCCAGTGCTACTTTGTCTCTTACAAAGTGAATGTCAACTTCAACATGCTTGGTACGTTGATGTTGCACTGGGTTGGAGGATAAGTAAACAGCGCTGATGTTGTCACAGAAAACAATGGTGGCTCAGCGAAGGGGTTGGTGAAGTTCAAGTAGAAGATTTTGGATCCAACTAGTTTCAGCAAAGGCATTTGCTACGGCTCGGTATTCGGCTTCGGCACTGGAACTGGAGGTCTTTCCTTGTCGTTTAGAGGACCATGAGACGAGATTATCTCCGAGAAAAACACAGTAGCCAGATGTAGATCGACGTGTGTCGGGACAACCAGCCTAGTCGACCTCGGAGTATGCCTGAAGAAGATCGGAGGAGCCACGGGATAGTGTGATCCCATGGGTAGAGGTGCCCTGCAAATAACGTAGAACCCATTTTAAGGCAGTGAGATGAGGCGTCCGAGGAGCATGAAGGTAGAGACATAACTGCTAAACTGCATATGTGAGGTCAGGTCGAGTGAAAGTGAGATACTGAAGAGCACTAAGAAGAGAGCGATAAAGAGATGGGTCGGGAACCGGGTCACCATCTGTAGTGGACAGTTTCCCTTTGGTGTCCACAGGTGTGGAGATGGGCTTACTGTGAATCATGCCTGCTCTATCCAGAATTTCATGGGCAAACTCTGTCTGATGTAGGAATAATCCCTATTTGGTGCGCTGAACATTGATGCCGAGAATAAAATTTAGTTCCCCCATATTTGTCATGGCAAATTCACCTTTTAAGCGCTCTGTGATCTGGGATAGGAGCATGGTCGTCGAGGCTGTGAGCATAATGTCGTCAACATAAAGGAACAAGTATGCCATGTGTGTCCCACATGTGTAGACAAAAAGTGAAGTATCAGTCTTGCAGCCCTGAAACCCGATGTGATGTAAAAAACCAGCAAACCGTTGATACCAAGAGCGGGGTGCCTGTTTTAAGCCATAAAGAGCCTTCTTTAGTCTACAAACGTAATGTGGGCGTGATGGATCTTCGAACCCAGAAGGCTGACTAGCATAGACAGTTTCCTGAAGGTGACCATGGAGGAAAGCATTATTAACATCCAGCTGATGTATGGGCCAGCCCCGAGCGAGGGCCAGACTGAGGACAATCCGGATGGTGGCCGGTTTAATGACCGGACTAAGCGTGTCACTATAGTCAATGCCGAAATGCTGGTTAAACCCTCGGACTACCCAACGAGCTTTGTACCTGGACAGATCACCTGTGAGACCAAATTTGTGTCTAAAAAGCCATTTTCCAGTGATAACATTTTGAGTGGGGGAGGGGGGTACTAATTCCCATGCATTATTCTTTATTAGAGCATTAAATTCATCACACATTGCATTGTACCAGTTTGGATCTTTCAGTGCACTACGTTAGGTGGGGGGAAGTGGTGAGATGTGAGCTGTAGTGTTGAGGTTTAGGATGGTTTTAGGGCAGTGGATGCCAGATTTGGCCCGGGTGGTCATTGGATGCGTGTTTGTGGAGGTGGGGGGTCGGGCTGGGCTTGCCCAATGGGCTGTGAGGCGGGCTGGGCTAGATGGGAGTGCTGGGCCGAGGGATGGTATTGGGTCGGGAGAGGGGAGTTGGGCCGAGAGCTAGAAGGGAGGGGGATAACGGGCTAAGTCGCGGCAAAATTGGGAATGGGTTGGATGGTGGGTTGGTGGGCTGGAAGGGTTTGAAAAAATTGGTGTAGAGTGTGGGGAATAGTGTCGTCCATGGTGTCAAGAAAGTTGAGGTCCAGTGGCGCGGTGGGGTGAGCGAAGGGAAAAATGGATTCGTCAAACGTGGGTAGTTAGATCGAGGCATCGAAACCCCCGTTGATTGGGGGGATAGCCAAGAAAAATACATCGAATGGACCGGGGAGATAATTTGTGGGGGGCAGTGACGAAGATGTTAGGATAGCAGAGACATCCAAAACACGGAGATGATCGTAGGTGGGTGGGGTCTGAAAGAGAAATTCATGAGGAGTACGTTTGTGGAGAGTAGTGGTGGGTAAGAGGTTAAAAAGATGGCAGGCCATATGGAGTGCCTCGACCCAATATTCAGGGGGTAGTTGGGCTTGAAAAAGCAAGTGCGAATCGTGTTGTTGATGGTTCGTATGGTTCGTTCGGCACGTCCATTTTGTTGGCTGGTGTGGGGACAGGAGAAGCGGAAAAGAATGCCTAAGGAGTTAAAAATGGTTTGAAGGGGGGTGTTACGGTATTCTGTTCCATTGTCACATTGTACATTTTTAATTGTTGTGTTAAAATGATTTTTCACGTAAGCCATAAAGTTGGTTAGTGGAGAAAAAACATCATATTTGTGACGTAAAGGAAAAACCCATAAGTAATGAGAGAAATCATCAAGAAGAAGCATATAATTTTTAAAACCAGTAATGCTAGGTACAGGCGACTGCCATAAATCAGTGTGCATAAGTTGAAATGGAAAAGTTGAGGTACGACTAGAAGGAGTAAAAGGGAGATGCACATGTTTCCCTAACTGACAAACGTGACATAAATTGTTGTAAAAATGTTTATTATTAAAAACAGATAAAGGGGGAATAGCTTGGAAAACAGCTGGGCTAGGATGACCAAGACGACGATGCCACGTCTGGGTGTCAACGGAGGCAGCGTGGGCTTGAGCAACTGGGGTGTGCAGGTGTAGAGGGTAGAGGGGACCGTTGTCATTGAAGCGATGAATCACGTTGTCCGTCCGAATATCCTTCACAGAAAAACCATTTTAGTCAATTCACGGGTAAACTTACGAACTGAGATAAGGTTGTGGATAATGTGGGGAGAAATAAGGACATTATGAAGTGATAAGGGTGGGGAGGTAGGAAAAGTATGTTTACCTACCACCGTGGCGTGCACTTTGGATCCATTACCTACAGTGATTAAAGGTGATGAATTTAAACTTTTTGAATAAACATGGGAAATAGTACCTGGGTCGGAGGCGATGTGATGAGATGCACCGGTGTGCATGAGCCATGTGA